AGAAAACCTGCAACAGTGGCAGCTCGAACAGCAAAATAAACAAGAGAGATTACAGCAGTTGTTGGAAGAAAAAGAAAAGAAACAAGAAGAGAGACAACAACAGTTGCAAGAAAACCTGCAACAGTGGCAGCTCGAACAGCAAAATAAACAAGAGAGATTACAGCAGTTGTTGGAAGAAAAAGAAAAGAAACAAGAAGAGAGACAACAACAGTTACAAGAAAACCTGCAACAGTGGCAGCTCGAACAACAAAATAAACAAGAAGAAAGATTACAGCAGTGGCAAGAAAAACCTACAACAATGGCAGCTCGAACAGCAAAATAAACAAGAGAGATTACAGCAGATGTTGGAAGAAAAGAAAATAAATAAGAAGAGAAATTACAGCAGTTGTTAGAGGAGAAAGAAAATAAACAAGAAGAACGAGAAAAGAAACAAGAAGAGAGATTACAGCAGTGGCAACTGGAACAAGAAAGGAAACAGGAAGAAAGTCAGCAGCAACTACAGGAAAATCAACAACAATGGCAAGAAGTATAAATGGAAAACATCAGTAAATTTAAAAGCGAATTAGATACGTTAAAGAAAGATTTGTTGTGTGTTACACAAGGAGGATACATTGACCACCGACTTAATCAGCCCCAGACAATAGCAAGCCCCTTACAGAGCCCGCAGTTAAACCCTAATGCAGACATATTCAGTCCCGATTAGAAGTCACATCCCAGATATGAATGTCATGCCTTCCCATCGAATTCCTGTGGCTTCCTTCGCACTGGATCACTCCTATTACTCGTGGGAAGCATATAGAGCACAGTTTGAGCTACTGGCAGAGATGAACGGACGGACAGAGGAGCAAAAAGCAGTATATCTGGCAACGAGCTTGAAGGGACAACCACTGGAAATACTTGGACAGTTGACAGCAGCCGACAGACACAACTATAGAACACTGGTAGAGGCTCTGGAACTCAGGTACGGAACCCAAAACCAGTCAGAAGTCTACAGAGCCAGGTTCAGGACGAGAGTCCATGCTAAAGGGGAGAGCCTGCAAGAGCTGGCACAGAACTTGGAGAGCATGGCACACAAGGCCTACCCAACTGCACCACCCGATCTCCTCAAGTTGTTGCTGAGAGATCAGTTTGTAGATGCCTTGGACAGTCCACAACTTAAGATACAAGTGAAGCTAGCACACCCCTCTACCATGCAGGATGCAATGGCCAGAGCTCTCGAAGTTGAATCCTACGGTAAGTCCAGCACAGAGGTACTGAGGTTGGTACAGTCATCTGGATTCAAGGACAGAAAAGGACAGCTTTCAGAGAAGTTTGAGGGACTTTGCTGGCACTGTAACAAACCTGGGTACAAGAGAGCTCAATGCTGGCAACTTCAACACAGGAGAGACGATACAGCAGTAAAGGCTGTTACCAAGAAAGGCTGTTGGAACTGTGGAAAGCACGGACATCTGAGGAGCCAGTGTAAGAA